GGGGGGGGGCGATGTTTCAAGAATATTTATGATGGTTTCAACCTGAATTCATTTTTTTAACGAATGTAAAAAAAACCCCAGCAAAAACGCTTTCTTTTTTTTCATACATTTTCAAAACAAAAATCCCATAGAGCGGTATTCCTCTCTTCTCGATAGTTGTTCCTAGAGACTGACAACTCCAGAGTTTAGAACTGATCAACATTTGGACTTTGACATGTTCTTGTTCTCAGAGTCACCCAAGCAGAACGTCAGGACTTAACAGAGACCCGGAGGAAATATTTTAAATGCAAAACAATTGCAAGATCTGTTTTCCGTCGTTGATCCCAACAGAATCTATGACTTTTATAAAGGCCGTTGGCATGTACGGAAAATTATTAACAACGTTACATTTTTTTTTTTGTCTTATTGAAAAAAGATCTTTTAAATTAATATTTTTTTACCTCAAATTTTTAGTATTTTAACGTTTAATTTTTATTAGAAATGTTGAGAAAAATTAGGCCGTGCGGTGAACTGTTGCGAATAAAACCAACTTGTGTCGCGTGCTCATATGGCCTTATGTAGTTGTGAGTGCCGTAAAACTCTTATTAAGCTAAAAATAGGCTTACCTCGTCCGAGCCTTTGAAGACCAGCCGGACTTTCTCAATCATGACCACATCGTCAGGAAATCTGGGTGTCTTGTCGGTGCTGGAGGTGTCCGGGTTGGGGGGCGGGGGGGACGTCTCTGTGGCGTCCTCCGGTATGGTGGTCGTCGTCATAGCAACGTCTGCTACCATCACAGGCGGTGTCGTGGATGCTGGCGGTGTCGGTGGTGGGTCGGTGGTGGTGGGAGGGGAGTCGGTGGTTTCGTTGTTCGTCGAGGCCGAATCCGGAAGTGGTGGCGTTGTTTGTGGCGGTTCCGAGTCTGTGGGGGTTGGGAGAGATTCGTTGGATGAAGGCGACGACGATGACAGAGATAATGACGGCGACAACGGTTGTGGTGATGATGACGATGATGATGATTCTGGTAGTGTAGTCAAAGAGTCGGTTGTGTTCTCCAAATCTGTTCCATCTTCTGTTGAAGTGTGGACACTGTCGGTTGTTACTGGGGTCGCTGGAAACTGTGTAGAGGTCGACAAATTCGCAGCCGGGCTGGAATCGTTAGAACTTTGGTCTAAAATATCTTGAAGATCTGGCGTCGTTGTTTCATTGGTGGAGAGAGTGGGTGTGTCATTGAATGAGGGCGGATCACTGGCTGGGGTCAAATTTGACAAGATGACTACAGGAACAGTGGACGATGTAGCGTTGTCAGAATCGTCTGTATCGTTGTTATAGACAGGTGTGGGGTTGATCACATTCTGGTGGAGAGAGTAATTGCTCAGTCCCGAATCTAGGTCAGTGTTGGTGGCGATCGTTGAGACGTTGTTGTCGTCTGCTGGGGTGGACGACAGCGCGGGAAAGAAAAACAGTGAACAAATGTTTTTCACTTTTGAGCACAAAGAAGTTAACCCGAGAAAATGCTGTTTTGAGAAAATCGAAGGTAAAGGTTTTGGATCCATGAAATCTATCTTTAAAAGACAAGGAAAGTTTTCTCTATAACCAAACAAATGTATACACACCAATGAAACCAAACTTTTCCTAGATAGGTAGGGCAATGCCCACTTTTGGTGTAGGTCAAGATTTCTGGAAACCTGAAATCTGAGTTAGCCCGCTTGTCCTTAAAAGCGACCAATTGACGTCAATGAATTGTCCCTAATCTCCAAATTGTCATGGTCAGAAACAAAACTGCTAAAGTCATTAGACAGAATCAAGATTGAGGGAAAAAAACTTACCAAGACGCATCGATTTTTAGAACACATCAGGGTACGAGCTCTTGTAGATTACCCCTATGAAATATTTCAACGAAAAAAACCAAACCAATTCCGTCATTCACAAACTGTATTTTTATAACAGCAAATCAAAGAAAGAACAAGCCAAGCCCATCATTGTGAAAGTTTTCAATAGATTAAGTTGGGATTATTGTCACTTACCTTGTTTTTCCCTGGACCCCTTTATTTGTTGTTTCCGGGTTACAGGTCAGGAAAAAATGCCTGTCTTTTATTCCGTCACCTTTATCTAGCAGGTTTTTGTTTCGTGTCATTAACGTCCAGTTTGTGAGACGTTCTCACTTTTGCTTCTGTCAGAAGATTGACTAAGGAAGGTACTGTTTGGTTTTTGTTTGTTGTTTTGTTTGTTCTTTACGTTTGCTTCTGTCGAAATATTGACTTAGGAAGGCACTATTTGTTTTTGCTTGTTTGTTTTGTTTATTTATTTGTTTGTTGTTGTGGGGTTTTCTCAAGCAGCAAAAAACGCCAGCGATCTCAGGAAGGAAAGATAGACTAAGAGAGAGAGAGTCTGAGAGAGAGAAAGAGAGAGAGATAGAGAGAGAAAGAGAGAGAGAGGGAGAGAGAGAGAGAAAGAGAGAGAGAGAGTCTGAGAGAGAGAGAGAGACAGAGAGAGAGAGAGAGTGAGTGAGTGAGAGAGAGACAGAGAGAGAGGGGGGGGGAGAGAAAGGGATGCAGGGAGGAAGCAAAAGCACCTTCACTTTCACCAACCTTCTATTCCTCCAGACACATTCTTGTTGTTGACGTCAGGTGTGGGGCTGGCGGTGTCGGTGGTATTGGCTGTCGTGTCGGCTGTGGTATTGGCTGCCGTGTCGGCTGTCGTGTCGGCAGGGGTCGAGGGTATCGGGGGTTTGGTGACGGGTGTCGTGGTCTCTTCGCCTGTCGTACTGGGTGTTGTGATGGGCGTGGTGGGGGTGTCCTTTTCAGCCTCTGGAAACCAACACGTCACCAACGGTTATTTTTAGACCTAGTCAGGTGGGTGGTTGTCGGGTGCTCTCGGTTTTGTTCCCTTCTTCTTGACTATCAAGGGTATATCGTTCTTACCTCTCCTCTTTCTTTAATTGTGAGGCAGCGATGTGGAATCAGGCTCTCGTCAATTTTTGTGGCATGTACAGTTATTGGTATCATCTTAAAGCTTGTTTACCTGTCTTTATTTGAATAAAAAAATTATCCATTTATCTTGAATAAAAGTCGAGATATTTGCAAAAGAAGGAGGTGGGGGTCACCTGTTTTCAGAGGTAAAATTAGTGAGAAAATGACCGCTAAGATGAGTTATTTCTTAGCCTAAGAGTCCGTGGTAACTGAACATTTACATTTTGTTGTGTCTTTAATCAACGTTTTTCAGAAAAATCCACACAGAAATGAGTTCTTTAATGGGCATGAAAGGTGTTGAGCTAAAAAACAAAACTTTGATAAAAATTCACAAACCTGCGGGAAAATGCAGGTTTCTTCTCTTTGATTATTTTGACGAGAGCCTGATTCCACCGCGCTGCCTCACTGTTACTCTCTAATAACACCCCTTATCTTCTGAACTTATATCATTATTATTACGACCTGTGTGAGTTGCAAGTGCCGTAAAACTCTGACTGAAACTAAACTAGGCTAGACCTAGTCCAAGTCTAACTAAACTTTTAAAATTTTACACCTGAAAAAAAAGCTGTTTACATGATGTCTTTAATTTGTTCGGATCTGGGTCACTTAAACTGGGCCATACAGCTCTGGGCCAACTTAGTTTTTTAAACTGGACATAGTAAGTTAGGTAACTTTATTTTTCTTTTATTGAGCAAAAATAGAAAACATAAAGTGCATCATAGTAACACTATGAGTAATTTGGTTACTACGGCTCCAACCCACTGTACCCCCCCCCACCCCTCCCC